AGAGTCTGTCCATAGGACAACAATCAGTCGTACACTGCACAAATCTGTCCTTTATGGAAGAGTGGCAAGAAGAAAGACATTTCTCAAAGATATCCATAAAAAGTGTTGTTTAAAGTTTGTCACAAGCACCTGGGAGACATCAAACATGTGGAGGAAGGTGCTCTGGTCACATGAAACCAAAATCAAACTGTTTGGCCACAATGCAAAACGATATGTTTGGCATAAAAGCAACACAGCTCATCACCCTGAACACACCATCCCCACTGTCAAACATGGTGGTGGCAGCATCATGGTTTGGGCCTGCTTTTCATCAGCAGGGACAGGGAAGATGGTCAGAATTGATGGGAAGATGGATGGGGCCAAATACAGGACCATTCTGGAAGAAAACCTGTTTGAGTCTGCAAGAGACCTGAGACTGGGACGGAGATTTATCTTCCAACAAGACAATGATCCAAAACATGAAGACACATCTACAATGGAATGGTTCACAAATAAACGTATCCAGGTGTTGGAATGGCCAAGTCAAAGTCCAGACCTGAATCCAATCGAGAATCTGTGGAAAGAGCTGAAGACTGCTGTTCACAAACGCTCTCCATCCAACCTCACTGAGCTCGAGCTGTTTTACAAAGAAGAATGGGCAGAACTTCAGTGTCTCCATGTGCAAAACTGATAGAGACAAACCCCAAGAGACTTGCAGCTGGAACTGCAGCAAAAGGCGGCGCTACAAAGTATTAACGCAAGGCGGCCCAATAATACTGCACGCCCCACTTTTAAGTTTTTTATTTGTTAAAAAAGTTTGATACATCCAATAAATTTCATTCCACTTCACAATTGTGTCCCACTTGTTGTTGATTCTTCACAAAAAATTAAAATGTTATATCTTTATGTTTTGAAGCCTGAAATGTTGCAAAAGGTTGAAAAGTTTAAGGGGGCCGAATACTTTCTCAAAGCACTGTACATAAGGAAACTGTCCAGAGGAGAACTTCTTGACATAATCTGTTTGTCTGCCAAAATTTTGGGGTGCTCACAACTTTTACAATGAGGAAGGCAAAGAAATATCAAGAAATATGTAATTTAAAAAGTATATTGCACTGTATACTGTTTACTGCACAAAGTTTACTATTTATACTATTACTATACAAAGCTACTACTATACCAATGTTCTCAGACAGCCATCATGCTTGAAATTTTCAATGTACTGAGTGGCTGACTCTTTGATGAGCTGCCTTCTACACATAGAGGTCATTTTTTATATTATTTTATTATCACAAATATCCTCTGCAGCAGGTGAAATTGAACAAGTACACAAACAAATAGAAAATATAAGCTTCCCTACAAACACCACATCTGTGTCTACACAAATTGAATCCACCATTTCTCCACTAATGATGTCCACAGCAACTAAAGATTAGATTATTTACTTTTACTTTAAACCGTTTAGACATTTAAATTACCCACCAATACAAGAGCACACACACACACACACAAACGATATTTAATCTAATAAGCAAAGATTTCCAGTAG